TATTATCCAGAATAGGTCACTGTAGTCATTTCTTTCCTGAGCTGCCGTTAAATTTGAAGAATATAGGCGTTCTATATATATTTTTGCCGTCTTAATAAAACTGCTCTGAAAGCGTACTTGTATAATTTATTGATTTTTCTTTATTATAAAATTTCAAACCGTATTATAAAAAGAACTCGCTACCTGTTAAGTTATCCAAAAATAAGTCTGGGAAGAATAAATGTGTTATTTTATTGCTTAAATAGTCTTGGTTATTCTTAAAATTTAATGAAAATGTCACTTTCAATTACTATTTTAATAAGAGATCATTTTTTGTCACTTTTTCTGCAAAGCAACAGTCGCTATTTCACTTTTTTTATTTTGGCAACTGGATGGCAGCGCTGTGTTATTCAAGAATAATTGTAATTCATCAATTGAGAGGAAAAAAATATTGGACAGTAAAAACGATATTTTTAAACTAAGAATTGTATCAGTTTGAAAATATCGTTTTATCCGATACTTTTTTTCTCAATTCACGAAAATTATTTTTGAATAGCAAAAATATGACATTTTTAGTAGAATTACAGAATTTATTTATGTAAGCAAGTTTTCGTATAGAATTATATATTTTTGCTTATATATAAGAATATGAGTCGTAAATTGATAGTCTACCTACTAACTGAGAAGTAAAACTACTTGGGATCCCAATCAAGACGTAACATTTTTCCTACAATTATTGTGCACAAATGTTGCGCAAAATCTGAACTCATTTACTGAACAAAAACAGAACAATAAATGGACAAAAAACTGGATTCACTTGATTAATAAGCGAGCCTGCTGTTCATGAAGTGAGCAACTTTATCCTAGAAATATCCCTGAATAAAACTATCAAGTTCTTGTCCATTTCCTACGCGGTATTGTTACAATTAATGAGAATGCATTAATATTAGACACTAACCGGGATAGGTGTCTAGGGAAACTGCGTACATTCCTACCGGGGGAATTTTTTTTCCGCATGAGGGTTCGTATTTCTCATCCCGAGACGATCGACGAGACGAATTGCCGGGATCGTCGCTCGGAGACCAGCGCGCGAGACTTGCTCTTGATCGAATCGCCCGTTGTGTGTTCGCAGACGGAGATCGCCAAGAGGCTGAACGCGATCATCGCTCAAGTGATGCCGTTTCTGGCGCAAGAGGTGAGTCTTTGACTTTCTGTTTGGCACGCGTGCCGTGCAGTCTCACGATCGAGTGTGACGACGACGCGATAATCATAGCGTGGCATTGCAGCATCAGCAGCAGGTGGCCAACGCCGTGGAGAGGGCGAAGCAAGTCACCATGTCCGAGCTGAACGCCATTATCGGAGTAAGTAGCGCTCTTAGTCATTAACCTTTCTCCTCCGCTCCTCTGTGTCGATCGGTCTTAACGATCGAAAGATCGCGCCATGCGCATTTGTCTCGAAGGCATTTCTCGCGAACTATCGGCAGATAGTTGACCGCGTATGATTGAATCATCCGGTTATCCTAGCGACGGTTATGTTTTGACGACACGCTTTTTTCTGATTCTTGCAGCAGCAACAGCAGCAAGGTCTCCAGCAGCTATTGGTGAGTGTGCCTCGTATCGTCGCGTTCGATACGCGAGACGCAATGCACTCATTTCCATGCTCGTAAAATTCGTGCTTGTTAATCCGTAACCGTGAATAGCAAATACGATTTTAACGCACATTGTCGACCGGTTATCTGGGTCATCTCACGCCTCGACAATGGTTTATGGAAATAAAGGACAATCGAAAGCAAGGATTGAGCAAGACTGGAAACAGCTGGTCATATAATTTATGTTAACTTACGAAAAACAGCGGCAATAACAGCAAAGCCTGAACCGGTCGGCAACGTTTTAACGACAAATAAATTATTTTCTTATTCCTCCGACATTTCGATTCGCGGAATAGCGACGTTTTTCGACGAGAATAAAACCTTTCCGTGTGATCGACACGTTGAAAGTGCCGCGGTTCGTCGGCACTGACGCGTCTCATAGTGATTCGCGGGTAGGCATAATTAATCGCGCCTGATAAATTAGATGCACGGTCAACGGTGATCAAACGAAACGAGGCGAAATATGCACGCAATAATTATTGTGTTTACGCGTGAATTATTTATCGTATCTGCGGCTATTCAATTTTTAATTAAGGTAGTTGGTCCGGATTTTCAGCGGCGATATTAAAGGACCGACCCCTACATAAGTATATTATTTACTGAGAAAAATACTTTCCCGTAACTTTATTGAATTATCTAAATAATAAATGTGTTCATTTTGAGCATGAAATTAAGACAATTATACATCCAGTATTACGTACGTGGAGATATTATTTATCTTTTATTTTTCTTATTAATGCTTTATTTATATGCCCGAACTATCAGAGGTGAACTATTAGAGGTGCACACATAATAGAGAGTGGTATATAAATATTTAAACACATATATACATATATCGTCGGGTGTTACTATTAATTGTAAATTTCCTATGACTATATTTTCAAAACTAAATGGCTAATAATTCTGAAATTTTCGCATAATATTTCCACATGAGTCTTTAATATCACAGTGGTTTTCATAAAAATTGGAAATGTAGGTTTACAAGAAATTCAAAGATAGAAGTTAAAAATAGGGCTTTAAGGAACACGTATAAAAAAAGTATCATATTTAGTTGCGAGCAGTATTTCCATCAGTATTGAGCCAAAATTGCCAGGGTTTCCCGAGGAAATGGTTTGACGGACCAACTACTTTGAGTTTTCGAAGAATCGATGGAAACCAAGGCGTCGACGACGCGCCGTTTCGCGCCTCTGTTCGCTCGAAAACGTAAGCGGAAACCGTATCGACTTGTGACCTCGGGACGGGGGAACAAGCAGCCTCCTTCCAAGTTGGCGCGATTAAAAAGACACGGATTTTTACGGGCTCGGACGGCACGCTCGGTCGCGAAGTCGAAGGGGTTTTTAATTCTCCACCTCGTGTGTTCCTCTTCGGCACGGCAGCAACAGATCCATGCGCAGCAGCTGCCCCACGGCGCGGTGGTCGGCGGTCTTCCACCGGGCGGCCTGCTGGGCTTCGCAGGTGCGGCCGCGGCGGCCGCAGCCGCGGGTGTGCCGCCGCACTTGGCGCCGCCGCCGCATCCCGCAGCCGCGGCTGCGGTCCAGGCACAGGCGCAGGCGCTGCTGAAACCGGCGGACCTGCAACAGCACCGCGCGGCCGCGGAGACACCCGAGGACCGTAAGCCGATCGCCCTGCCGGACGAGAGGCTCGGCCGCTCGGTCTCGCCGCCTGAGAAATTTCGCAGCCGCACGCCCGACCTCGAGAGCGACCCCAAGAGGCGGAAGGAGGAGAAGCTAGGACACGTGAGTATCTATTGTACAGTATGCTCCCTCTGTGTGAGTAATGTAAGCGCGCCATCTCGACGACGGCCGTCGACTCGGTGCGAATCGATCGGCCGATCTCCGATCGCGTCTTTGCGCCCGTCCTCGCGAGATGTATCGGTAGCTTGCGATAGTTCATCGGGCTCTTAGCTCCTTTTTTGTGAACACGTTGAACACCGTAACGGTCATCGGCGACCGGCACGCGATACTATCTCGTTTTTTATTCGGTTACATATACTAATAATCTTAGTTAATAGAAATTCTCTAGTGTACGCAAGTGATAGTAAAAAAAAAAACAAACTATAAATGACAGATGCAAATTATAGTGATTATGAAAAATATAATGTATACAAACATAGAAAATATAATTAATAATTGCATTTGAGAAATCGATTATACAGTCAGCAGAGAGCCAATAGAGCTAAAATGAGCACGGCAAAGAATGTTTTGCTGGCTTAGCAAATTTCCCAGTTATTATGCGGACGGTGAAAAGATTTGTTACGCGAACAAAATAATTTTTCTGTTTTAGCGAAACGTTTAGTTGACGTAACCAAATTATTTTGCTGTCCAACAAATAGCAATTAATACTCTTAACAAATCTTGTTTCCGTCCCAATAAATCATTTTGCTGCTTCATAAATCTTTTTGTCGTCCGTATAGTAACTGAGAAATTTGCCGTGTCAGCAAAATACTTTTCCCCCTGAAAGGCGTCTCGAGTTACATTTAATTACCATATCTTTGGTAATTTTCATCAATTAAGCTTCCTTTGCACATTCAACGGAAATCAGCGTGTTGATAATAGCGACCTCTAACCAAACGGTCATATGCAAAGTACTCGTCTTCGTTGTTCACCAATGTTCCCTTCCTGGTCGTTAGTCTTTCGGGTGATTATCGGATCCGGCGAGTTTGCAAAATGACATCTCTCGCGATCATCGACGATCCGACGAACTTGCGCGAGCCCGCAATTAATAAATTGTCCGGATCCGATGGATCGTCGGTTCGTCTTTGGCGAGATTTCCATTGCCTCCTCTCTCTCTCTCTCTCTGTGCAGCGGTCGAAGTGCGCGATATCGATTGCGCTTCCGTTGCCGGTGGAGCTCCGTCGATTAAAATGGGATGTCCGCTGACTTTACATTATAACTTTGAGATCTAATCCGTCCGGTGTGTTTGTTCGATTCTCCCGTCCGTCCGGTAGATTCGAAATTGAGTTTTTACACACGCGGAGGAGCAATACGAAGTTAGGACGACGCGAAGTCGAGGAGCGGATAGAGGGACGGACGGACACCGCGCGCATAACCGAGAGGGAGAAAGTCCAGCCGACTTTTCCCTCGAATGAGATATCAAAAGGGACGGGTTCGGTGCTCGTCGATAGAGCAAGTGCGTGCTGTTGCATTGAATATTGCTCGTTGGCCAGTGCACACTTAACTCCGGGACTCGGCGGAAGAGTAACGCGTCACGACGGCGCGTTAGTCGAGAATTAAAATGCTAATTGCAGCGACGTCGAAAGCCGATAAAACGGCCGACACTCTCGGCCGCCAGCGGGGGCGGCGGCGGTGGGCGGAGGAGGAGGAAGAGGAGAATAAAGAGGCGCGCTCACTCGCTTGCTCGCGCCCAACCGCGCGTTATATCGCCGGAAAGTAAACGCAAGAGTAATATAAAAGGGCCGAGTTAGAATCGAGTTTGCCGATGAAAAAAAGGAGGAGCGAGGAAGGAGGAGGGGAGCGACGCTAACTTCCGCTTAATCGTCGAATCCGCTATAAAATGAGGAGAAAAAAAGGGAAAACAGAAAGGAGGAAAGACGGAAGGTGGTGGTGATGGTAGTGGTGGTAGCGGTTGGTGGTGGTGGGTATCCCCTCGATGGAGGAGTCTCGCGTGCCGTCTATCTCGGCTACTCCTCGAGCGAGCGAGCGAGCTTCTCTCGACGCGCGAACCAAATGCAATCATGCATCGCGGAAGTTTCCCCGAAATTGGATTACCCTCGTCCGTCGTGAGACAAAAAGGGGAAGGACGCGGGCGAAAAGAGGAAAAATGAGAAACAAGGAGAAAGAGAGAGAAAAAGGAAAAAGAGGATCAGCGAGATGCCGTCGTTCCGTCGGTCAGAAGTCGTAATCCGCGCGAAAGTTCTCGCGGGGTCACGCGGTCGTCGTCGTCGTCTATCAATCTATCTATCTATCTATCTATCTATCTCTATCTCTCTATTTATCTGTCCATCTATCTCTCTCGCGACGACGGTGTCCGCGAAAGCGCACATCCTCGTCCGGGATCACGACGCCGAGGCACGCAACAACCTCCTTAGGAGGAGGGACGTGAAGAGAATGCGCGGACAGGAGGATGGGCGATGTGGAGGTGGCAGGAGGTAGAAGAGGTAGAGGTGGAAGAGAATGAAGAGGAGGGCGTATAATTAAAAACCGTGAAAACAGGCGAACAGTTAGCTGGGTCGCCGTGCGCGCAACGACTAAATTGGATTATTTTTCTCAGCTGCTCCCTTGCCTCCTTTGAGCGTCTCGCTTAACTCCTCTTTGTCCTCCTCTCTCTCTCTCTCTCTCTCTTTCTCTCTCTCTCTCTTATCGTCTTGCCTTGCCTCCTTCTCTCCGTCTACTGCTCGATTTTTTTTTCCTTTTCCTTTCCTCTCCGTTTTCGCTTCGTACCGACTGGTGAAGCGTTCCCCTCGAGCGAATCCATCGGTCGCTTATGCATTTTTGATACCTACCGCTTTCTTTTTTCTCCCTCTCTCTCTCTCTCTCTCTCTCTCTCCCCCACCCTCTCGCGTCGTTGTACTCTCGGATCTGCATTAATTACTCATCTAATGGGTATTATAAAACTGTTAAGTAACGATGACTGTTCGCGTTGTATGTACGTGGCTGGAGAAAATCGCTCGCGAAATGTACGAAATAATAAAACGCTTTATCGGACTCTTTAATGTCGTCGGGAAATATCGAGGCGACAAAAGAATCGCCTTGCGACGTACTCTCTCTCTCTCTCTTTCTCCTCGGCCGCGTTCGACCACCGTGGAACGTAGTTATATCCCAGCGGTCGGTCATACGGCCACGTCGCTCGATGACTCCGGGGGGCGACTGTGTTAAAATTGCTTCTGACTCGGGCAAGCGTGTAGTTGTCGCGGCCAATTGTCGCTACCAAGCCGAGGAAGCGAGGAATCACGACGGGAGCACAGGATCTTCCTTCCAGCTCCGTCCCCCCGCGTTACCCTCGCCGACCACCCGCATTATCCTTCCTTCTTTCTCCGCGCACTAACGACACGTCGTTTACACGGGCAATCCCTTCGGCCCCAAGAGTCCGGGGAAGTTTGTTTGAAGTTGAAGCGCCGGCCAAACCCCGTCATCAACTCCATTTCGCCGTAGTCGCGTTCAAGTTATGGCGAGTGAAAGGCGATCTCGCCTAGTGTCGTTAACAGTTTCGTTTATAACTATTAGAACGAATACGGGGTATTCCCTCGCGCCGCAACTGCGTTTTGTTCATGATTACCGTAATTGACGAACGCTATATTTATCCACCAAATAAACACCGCGAGCCTCATAAAAAGTAAAAATACCCTTTTCAACGGAGGAATATCCGTAGACATTTTCCCCGGTTTTCCTACGCACAACACAGGCCCCGATTAGAATGCAAAAAATTGGCCCGAAATTGGTTATCCCATTACGATATTAATTGGTAATCCTATTTTTTTTCCCAAACATGAGGTGAATTCTCTTTTCCGCGACGCTGATTGGCTATGCAGTATAGTGTGCGATTGTTAACGTCAGAATCGAGCGATGGTTTGACCGAATGTCAGATTAGAAAGTTAATGAAGGAGGTTACATTTTTTCATATTACCACGCTTAATGGCGCACGCATAGCGTATGTGTATATCTTTAAAATATAAATACCTAAAGCGTTTCGTATATTTTATTCAATTTTAGTGTAAAATGGAAAGCAGAAAAAAATCGCTGGGAAAACATTAGGCACAACCAAATAGAACCTGTTTATGTTCTCCATCATTTCGAATCGAATAGGAAACATTATACTTCTAACCAGAATTTGCATAGATATTCCAACTAGAATCCATCATTACCTTGGGAAATCAGATTAGATCCCAATTAAATCCCAAGCAATTTTCTATGCGAGAACCCTGGTAGAAATTTCATGCATTTTTTGAGCAGTTACTTGTTTTTTAGGCAGTTTATTAAATTCTGCCTAATAACTGAGGAGCAAAACTATTCAGAATTTCAATTAAGATGTAACGCTTTTCCTGCAATTACCGTGCACAAGAGATGCGCAAAATCTCAACTCATTTACTGAACGAAAACAGAATAATAAATGGACAAAAAACTGTTAAATTGATTAACAAACAAGCCTGCTGCTCATGAAATGGGTCCTAGGAAGTATTTGAATAAAATTCGACCTTGTTCATTTCCTACACAATATTATTACAATTAACGAGAATACATTAACATTAGGCAGTAACTGAATGAGTGTTCAAGAAAACTGCATATATTTTTCTACCACGCCCGTTTCGCTTCTCGTAATGTTTTTCGCGACTTGTTGTCTCCTTCGTCCATCGATTCCCCATTTTTGTTCCTCACCGCCTTTTCGGGTCTCGTGTTTCTCTCTCTCTCTCTCTCTCTCTCGTATCAATCGCGGTGACCCTTCGGAACGACGAGAGTACTAGAGACTTCGAAAGCGTACTCGCGTGCTTATTGAGAAATCCGCCACTGTCGCCGACACGTGTCTCGGGTGCCGAGTGGCCGAGAACGCGGCCGCGTCGTCGCGTCCGGTCGTACGTAATTCACGGGAGCGGCTGCACGCGATGACGACGACGACGACGAAGAGAGAAAGAGAAACCGGCGCATCCGGAAATGAGTTCTCGTTCGTGTCCACGCTCCTCGGGTTCTTAGGTTTCTGCCGGTCGGAGCTTCGTGCTTACACGCTCACGTCTCGTGAGAGGATTAGTCGTAGCTCCGGCAGCACCATCATCACCACCACCATC